CAGAGCCAACTCTACCTGTGACCAACTGAAACATGAAACCAACCAATCCCTGAGCAGAAAAACCTCTCCCTGGGAAACCTCTACCCCCAAGAAACCCTATGTAAGCCTGTCTGCCTGCTCAGTTGCTGGTGCTCCTTCCCACCAAAGAGAGTCTTGGGTGAAGATCTTCATTCACTGGTGCAGAATAAAAGAACTTGCTGGGACGCTCCCTTAGGGGGACTGAGCAAGGCTGAGAAGAACAAGAAACTTGCTGGGATGGGCCCTTAGCGGAACTTAGAATTTAGCCAGTTGGTAGCAGAAAAGTAACAACTTTTCACCAGGCGGGGGGATTGCTTTCAGAAGACTGTAGCAGAAGAAGCTGTTAACTCTGCTAGGACATTCTCTTAGGGGAACATAACAGAGCTCAGCTTTAACAGCTCTCTCCAGGAGAGGAGTAGGATGCTAAATCCTGTGAGGAAAGGAGACCATCCCCACCATACCCCAGCTTCAGGTAACCTGTCTTCCCAACAAGTCAGACACCTTTTTCTCCAGGGCTGAGCTGTCCTGTTGCAGCTCCAGCCTCCAGATCTGTCCTATTGGAGCCCTAGGTAGCCTGGCTTCCTGATAAGTCAGGCACCTTGGCAGCCCCAGAGCTATAACACTCACACTTGGTTATATTTTAGTACCTAGCACTCACAATTTGATTATAATACAGGGTTGTGAGCCACCATGTGGGTGCTGGGAATTGAACCCAGGACCTCTGAAGAACAGCCAGTGCTCTTAACCTCTGAGTCATCTCTAATAAACTTACTTTTCAAATGTTGCTCTTCATGTTTATTTCTGTTGGACTCTGATCCTTTGGATGTGCGTGACTAAGAGGGAGGAAGTGACCAGGAGTTTTAAAGGAGCCAAAAATAGAATTTGAGTTCCATCTAGTTCCACACCTTAGGAGAAAGCCTAGAATCCCCACTCCAGCTTCATTCTCACACACATATTGGGACACCCAGCATGATGACACATGCCTGTAATCCTAACACTTCAAAGACAGGATTGCTTCAAGCCTGGGCCAGCCTGGTATACAGCAAGTTTCAGACCATCCAGTGCTACCTTGTTTCAAAATTAATGAAACAACTCAAATAGGATCTATGCTCTCTATCCTGATCACCCAGGATGGTTGGATAGCCAAGGAGAGTAAAAGAGTCGCAGTGTAGACCTGTTCTGTTTTTGTGCATGTGCATTTGTGTGTGTGTGTGTGTGTGTGTGCGCGTGCGTGCGTGCATGTGGAAGCCAGTGCTGGGTGTCTGCCTTGATCACTCTCCACTGTTTTTGTTTTGTTGAGACAGGATCTCTGTATATAGCTTTGACTGTCCTGGAACTCACCGTGTAGACCAGGCTGACCTTGAACTCACAAAGATCTTCCTGCCTTTGCATCTAGAGTGCTGGGATTGAAGATGTGTGCCACTACTCCTGACTGCATTTCACATTTATTTTTTGAGATTGGGCCTCTCATTGAACCTGACACTCACTGATTGGTCAGATTGACTGGTTGGCAAGCCCCAGGATCCTCCTATTTCTCCTAGTGCTGAAAGTATAGGAACATTACTCCATGACCAGGTTTTAAGTGAGTGCTGGGAACTGAACTCAGGTCCTCATGCTTGTGTGGCATATACTTTACTCATTGAGCCATTTTCCCCAGCCCAAAAACTGCTTTCTGTTGATTACAAAGTAAAATTTGTGGGCATAAAAATGAATATTGTGTTCTGGGCATCGGTGGTGCCCAGGCTCCAAAGCTGTCTCAAAAAAAACAAAATCAAGCAAACAAACAAAACAAAAACAAAAACAAAAAAAACTAGGTCAGGTTGGGCAGCAGACATGGCTCATCAGTGGTTAAGCACACTGGTTGCTCTTGCAGAGGACCTGAGTTTAATTCCCAGCAACCACATGGTGGCCCATGACCATCTGTAACTCCAGTTCTAGGGGATCTGACACTTCTGACTTCCATGGGTACGTGCAGGCATCAATACACATAAAATAAGTACATCTTAAAGAATCAAAAACTAGGTCAGGTATAGTGGTCCACACATGTCATCTCAGCTACTCCCAGATCAAAAGTTCATGGGCAAGATGACTGAGCAGTTAATGAACTTGCCTAGTCTAAAGACCTGAGTTCACATGACGGATGGAGAGCACTGACTCCTCCTGCAAGTTGCCCTCTAACCTCTACAGGTGGCACTTGCATTCCCCCAAGTTTCATTACAGGTGTGTGTTACCAAATCCAGCTCCCAACAAGCCGTTTTTGTTTTGTTTATCTGGTCCTGGAAACTGCACTCAGGGTCTTGCCCTTAGCTAGGCAAGCACTTCCTTATCCCACTCAAGCTGCGGCCTTGGTGCCCTGAAAACACGCCTGAGTCCGTCTCTTAGAACACAGCTGTACTGACTGTACCTGATACAACAAGTGAAATTACTGGATCAAAAGCTAAATGCTCAGCCTGGACTACAAGCGAGTTCCAGGACAGCCTCCAAAGCCACAGAGAAACCCTGTCTCGAAAAACCAAAAAAATAAAAAAAAATAAAAAAAGCTAGATGCATTTCCAAGGCTTTAAAATAGACCACGAAACCTCTCTGCAGAGTGGCACCCATTTACCCTCTCCAAGAGCACTGTATGTGAATACTTGGGCCTTCCTGTTTATATCAGCTAGAATGGTGATACCCAAACAGTTACTAGTCTGAAAGCTGAAAATTATTATTTTTTGTACCAGAACTAAACCTAGTGCTCTGCATATGCTAGGTAAACACTCAACTGCTCTGCTACATCCTTATTCCCTCAAAGTGATTTTTTTCATTCATTCAACAAACATTTATGAGTGTCTTCTATTTGCAATGTGTGGTGCAATGGTAATGATAAGGAAAATATGCCAGGTGGTGGTGTCACACGCATGCCTTTAATCCCAGCCCTCAGGAGCCAGAGGCAGGCGGATCTTTGTGAGTTTGAGACCAGTACCAGAACAGCCAAAGCTACACAGAGCAACCCTGTCTGGAAAAAGAAAGAAAAGAAAATTACAAGTTGGATATAATCTAAATCCCAGTATGTGGCAGGCTAAGGCAGAAAGGTCATGAGTTCAAGGTCAGTCTCAAAACAGAAAACAAAGTCTGTGGGGAATGTCAAGACCAGAGCTTGGATCCCTAAACTCATGCTACTTGGCTTCCCTGTAAATTCTGACGTTGAGGGTCGAGTCAGGGTCTTCCACGCAAGCTCACTATTGACACTGATGATGCTGGTGAGTGTTGTGTGTGAGGGACAGCCTCTGCCCCATGAATGGGTGGTAGGACAATTCCCACCACCGACCTTAGGCCTCTGCACGCAGTGCACATGTGTGTATTCAAACCCAGACATCTAAAGTAAATAAGTTCATCTTCAAACCCACACATCTAAGCCCCGCCCCCACACAGTGGAAAAACACACATACACAGGTACTCCACATGCAGCACACAAACAAAAGCCACAAAACAAAACAAAAACCAACATGGTGAGATGACTGACCAGTGAAGGTGCTTGTCTTAAAGCCCAGAACCTGAGTTCAACTCCGGGGGTCCCAGCGGGTCGAAAGAAAACCAATTCCTTCAAGTTGTTCTCTCATCTACACACACACACACACACACACACACACACACACACACACACACACACACGAGCATGCACACGAAAACTATTTTTGTGTCAGCCTTGGTAGCATATCATTGTGATCCCAGCACTTGAGAGGTGGAAGAGGGATGAGGAGTTTTAGGCCAGCATAAGAACTTGTCTCAATCGGGTGTTGGTGGCGCACGCCTTTTATCCTAGTGCTTGGGAGACAGAGGCAGGCGGATCTCTGTGAGTTCCAGGCAGCCTGGTCTACAGAGTGAATTTCAGGACAGCCTCCAAAACAATACAGAGAAACCCTGTCTTGAAAAACCAAAAAAAAAAAAAAAAAAAAAAAAAAAAGAACTTGAAAACAAGCCGCGTTCCCCTCCCCCAATGTACCATCATTGCCTGTTTGTTTTTTTTCTTTTTTGAGATAGGGTTTCTCTGTGTAGCCTTGGCTGTCCTGGAATTCATTCTGTAGTCCAAACTGGCCTCAAACTCACAGAGATCTGCCTACCTCTGTGGCTCCTGAGGGCTGGGATTAAAGGCCTGTGCCAGACACCACTGCTCAGCTCGATGGCCTGTGTGTTTTTACAAGGCAGGCATTCCAGGCGAGTCTGGGAAAAAAAAAGAAAAAGGAAAGAAAAAAAAAAGAAAACAAAAGAAATGAACAAACAAAAAGTAAAAACAGAACAGAAAAGGTGGCGGTGGGGTTGTCTGGAGATGCTTCAACTCATAAGAGCAGTTTTGTGAAGCATGAGGACCTGAGTCTGACACAGCAATCAGGTAAACAGCCAGCATGGGCTGTACACACGTAACCCCAGCAGCCAGCATGGGCTGTACACATGTAACCACAACAGCCAGCATGGCCTGTACACACGTAACCCCAGCAGGCAGGCATGGGCTGTACACATGTAACCCCAGCAGGCAGGCATGGGCTGTACACATGTAACCCCAGCAGCCAGGCATGGGCATTTGTACACATGTAACCCCAGCAGCCAGGCATGGGCTGTACACATGTAACCCCAGCAGCCAGGCATGGGCTGTACACATGGAACCCCAGCAGCCAGGCATGGGCTGTACACATGGAACCCCAGCAGCCAGGCATGGGTATTTGTACACATGTAACCCCAGCAGCCAGGCATGGGCTGTACACATGGAACCCCAGCAGCCAGCATGGGCTGTACACATGGAACCCCAGCAGCCAGGCATGGGCTGTACACATGTAACCCCAGCAGCCAGGCATGGGTATTTGTACACATGTAACCCCAGCAGCCAGGCATGGGCTGTACACATGTAACCCCAGCAGCCAGCATGGGCATTTGTACACATGTAACCCCAGAGCTGTGGGGGTGGGGTGGGGCAGGAGGGTAACAAGCTTGTTGTCCACCCACTTAGTTCTGGACTCAGGAAGAAACAGAAACCTTGTGCTGAAGGAATGAAGAAGGCAGGACGCCAGGCATTCTCCTCTGGTGGCTCATGCCTGTAACCCCAGCACTTGGGAGGCTGAAGCTAGAAGACTGGTGAGTTTGAAGCTAGCGTGGGCTACACAGTGGGACACAACTTTTTCTTTTCTTTTTTTAAATAAGATTTATTTATTATGTATACAATGTTCTGCCTGTGTGTATGCCTGCAGACCAGAAGAGGGCACCAGATCTCACTACAGATGGCTATGAGCCACCATATATATGGTTGCTGGGAATTGAACTCAGGACCTTCAGAAGAGCAGGCAGTGTTCTTAACCACTGAGCCTCTCTCCAGCACTTCTTTTGTTTTGTTTTGAGACAGGGTTTTGCTCAATATCCTTGGCTGTCCTGGAACTGATTTTGTAGACCACACACACACACACACACACACACACACACACACACACACACGAAGAGGGTTTTGTTTGTTGTTGTTTTTTTCTCCTTTCTTGTTTCTAAAAGAGCACGGGTCTGGTGACACAGAAATAGGAAACATGACCAAAGATAAATGAATGACGAGGTCCTTAGGGCCCCAAGACCACAGCGGAGAAAGGCTAACCCTTCAGGATGGAAATCAAGGACTTCTAAGCCTCTGGCTCATACAGGATCATTGGTAGAGCACAAGGATGCGGCCTCTAGGGAAGGTGGGTGACTTTCATTCCTTGTCACAGCCCAGCAATGGAAACCTGCCAAGAAGGAAAACAAGGACCGAGGACATGACTCAGTAGAGCACTTACGAGTGAGCACCAAAGGCCCTGGGTTTGATCCTAGACCACAAAGTTCCCCCAGGGTTTTTGAGACCATTTTCGGCTACCTGGAAAGACCCTGTCTGAAACAAACAACTCGCATTATAATAAAACTGGCAGTGATCCTCTCCTCAGAGGAAGGCCAAGCTATGACTAGAACTTTGAACTTGGATCTGCTTGTCCCTAAACTCTGAGTTCTATTCCCCCTTGCACAGACCTCTTGCTTCTTCTGTGACCAGAGTAGCAGTCTGACAACTGACAGCTGTGCCCAGGGTGATTTCTGTCTGTCTCATGCCTGTGCTTCTCTACAGATCCCCGAGAGATCGCTTAGTGCAGGCTGGGCATTGGTGGTAAAGCCTCAGGAGCTGCCAGTGGGTTTGCTGACTCATCTGCCCACTCAGCACTCACACAACGGGAATCCTCAGAGAGGCACCTCTGGGGTTGCTCTAGAAGGTAAACCAACGAACAGGCTCAGTACCCTGCTCAGCCAACACAGTAGCTGTTATCATCAGTGCCCAGGCCTTGCCTCTGTGGGTCTTTAGAAGGTGTTGGGAAAACATACATTTTTGGTTTTTTGGAATTTTTAATATGTTTAGACAGGGCCTCACTATGTAGTCCTGAGTTGTTCTAGGACTCACTCTGTGGAGCAGGCTGGCCTTGAACTTTCGGGCAGTCCTGCCTCTGCTTCCTAAGTGCTAAGATTACAGATATGTGCCACCACAACGTGCAGAAAATCCATCTTAAAAGTTTAACTTATCTATTTGTGTATGAGGAGGTTACAAAGGCCAGAGGGCAACTTTAAGAGCCTGCTCTGTGCCTCCACCGTGCTGGTCCCGGGATTCGGCCAGGTCGTCAAGCTTAGCAGCAACACAGTTTTCTGCTGAGCCCTCTTATTACTTCTGAAAATTCATTTTTGAAACAAGATTCTAAAATAATATATATAGATAAAATATTACTAAAAATGTTGGGGAAAACCCTGGGATTAGTGGCACTTACCTGTTTTCCTAGTTATTTGGGAGACGGAGTCATCAGACTGTGAGTTAAAGGCCAGCCTGGGCAACATAGTTTCAGTTCCTTTTGCGTTTGTTTGTTTGAAAGTGGGAGGAGCCCTGTGAAATGCGGCCTCCTGGACACCATAGGGCCATTACACTCAAGAATGCGCACAGCAGCTGGGCTCATCTGCACAGCAAGCCGCAGTCACTCAACAGTCCAGCGTGGATAGAAGGTGCTCGTGGATGGAAGGTGCTCCGCAGGTCCCACCACCAGCTGAGCAGCTGCTGACCATTAATGGCTGCTGGGAGAGACAGAGTCACTTTCCTTGGAGGGTGTAGTCACTGGGAGAGTATCCATGCCTAGGTGTTGAGTCCCACACCTGTGGGCACAAACCCAGCACCAACTGGACTCAGTGAGTTATTAATAAAATAAAGAGATGGAAGTGAGAAGGAGAAGTACTGGGTGTGTGTGTGTGTGTATGTGTGTAAAAAGGAACATTTTGATTAGATGTGATCAAGGCTCACTATATATAGGAATAAATTAAAAGTTTATTAAACAATTATAAGCAAAAAAACAAAAACAAGAGTGCCAGGCAGTGGTGGCGCAGGCCTTTAATCCCAGCACTTGGGAGGCAGAGGCAGGCGGATCTCTGAGTTTGAGGCCAGTCCCGTCTACAGAGGGAGTTCAAAGACAGCCTCCAAAACAATACAGAGAAACCCTGTCTCAAAAAAAGGGATCCACTTGCCTCTGCCTTCTGAGCGTTGGGATTTAAGGCTTGTGCCACCATCACCTGGCTTGTAGCTCTTAACTCTTGGTGGTAGCATCACAGATTATTTAATTTTTCCTGTTGCTTTCATATATTTCCTGAAATTTCTTTGGTTTTCACAACCAGGGGAGAAAATGAACAGGCAGAGCAGAGCTGTGACAGCTGAAAGGAGCTTCACTCGTCGGAAAGGAGCTTTACTCGTCGGAAAGGAGCTTCACTCGTCGGGCTTTTGCAGGGGCAGGTCCAGCAGAAGGGGCTGCGAGCGGAAAACTTGCACTGCCGAGAGAAGCAAAGACTTTTCTGTGTCCTTATTTCTTGTCTCTCTGCATCTCTGGGCTTTGGAATTCTTGGTGGCAAGGTCTGAAGTCTACTTTGTTTACAACTGCATTCTCCAGCTTCTAAAAAACCCACGAAACAAAACAAAGCGCTTAGTAGGTGTTCAATCAATATTAATCTAATGAATGAATGACCTCGACAGCTCTGCTTAGCCTGAGAGACAATGATGCTCTTCAGTTTGCTATCCAGCTGGTGCAGAGCCAAAACTGAGGTACACAGTTGCCATGGCAACTGCAGAAGGTCCAACAGGCCAGCAGCAGGAGGCAGACTCAGGGACTGTGTGAGCTCTTGTTTCTCTTCAAGGTGTAGCCTAGAAACTGAGAACAAGGCAATAGGCTGTGTTGTCAGATGTGGAGGAGAAAGGATCTTCATAAATGCTTATCTCAGTTGTTCACTGGGCAGACTTGTGAGGGTTAAAGGATGGGAGGTGCTAGTCTGAACCCAGGCGTGTCATCTTGGACAAGTCATTTAACCCCTCCGAGCCTCAGCTTGCTCATTCGTAAGAGGAGAGAGATGATTAGCTTTAAAATTGTTGATAAAAAGGTATGTGTGGTGGAGCTGTGAGAGAGCAGCCACTATAGAAAGGCCGGAAGGTTCCATCAAAGGAAAAAATACAGGAGCTGGGCATGGGAGTATATGCTGTAATTGCAGCACTCAGGAAGCAGAGGCCGGGGATTGCACACTCTAGGCCAGTCTGAGCTGCGTATTGAGATTCAAGGAAGACACCTGGAAGCCTAAAGTTACAGAATAGGTGCCTGTGGGCCCAATAGACAGCAGAATGGAGAACAGGGTTACAGAGGAACTCTGACTCCTGCATAAGCACTGCCTTGGTGACATGGAGGGAAGAGCCATGGGCTGGGGTCACACTGGTATTCTCACTTATACCACTTCTCCAAGGTGGGGTCCTGAGTCACTAGGCTTACTCCCTTGTTTTCCTTAGAGCACTGTGGGTGAGAAGCCCTGTGAACCCCACTTTGCAAGGTGAACCTCTACAATACAGCTAGTTAATGGCATCCAGTTTTCTTTTCTTCTTGCTTTGTTTTTTGGGACAGGGTTTCCCTGTGTAGCCCTGGCTGCCCTTGGCTCTGTCTCCCTGGAGAGGAGGACCCACAGTTGGGTTGACTCCTGACTTTACCACCAACAGTATGGCCTTGGGCAAGTCTGTCTTCTCCGATTTTCTCTGGTGTAATTGGAACATGCACCTCTAACCTGGGGAGATGTAAGTGGGCACTGAGTAGTAAGACCCTCCTCTTTCTGCTCCCCAACCTCAGTCTGGAAGAACAGGGCCCTAGAGCACACTGGATGGACGATGTCTTGGAATCCTCAACAGCAAGCACAATTGAACACAAAAACTTCTGGTTCCCAGAATCTGCCTCTAAAATGCTGGGACAGAGATTAAGGCAATAACTAGCTGGCTGTAATACAAGATTCAGGATTAAAGGACAGATCTTTTAGGATAAGGGAGTTTTCCTCGTCTCATCCATCATTTTCTCCAGTAAGTCTGGAATGTACTGTCTGAGGAGGGTGAATTCTCAGTTCTTAAAGAGAAAAGCTGCTTTGTCCAGTGCCAACTAACTGGCACCAACCAGAGAGCTCAGGTCTAGGATTTGAACTAGGGTCCTCTTACAGTGCCACGCTGAGAAGACTCAGTGAGTGCGTGGCTAGGGGCATGCTAGGCTCGCAGTGGTGGGAATACATCGAGCCAAGCCAGGTTTAAAGCAGGGCCCGTTCATTTGCATGCTAATACCCAGAATGCTTTTCCACACACCGCTTCATTTAATGGAAGCGCTCAGTTTGGAACCGGGTAAAGTTTGGAGTACGTACTTCGTTCCTCTTGCAACTAACTGTGGGAACTTCGCGCCCGTACACGTGCCTTGCCTACAGTCTCAGGCTCTGAGCCCAATAAATAGCTCAGCGGCGGCCCCAGCAGACGAACCTCCGTGTCCAAGCCTCATCTGGTAGCATCCTCAGGCGGGCTAGGGACAAAGCGCTCAGGCCTGGCCGCAGGGTCCGTGGTCAGAGTGCCCGGCATTTTGTAGGGCGGCTGGCGCTAGGCATGCTTCTGGCTTTGGGGAAGATCGAGGGCACTTCTTGATCCCTGGGTTCCCTACTTTCCCTCAAAACTGCTGGGATGTGCAAGGGCCGGTGGTTTTGCCCATCCTGTCCATCGCCATCATTTGCTCTCTTCCCTCAGGAGGCGAATTCACGCTCCCCAGGGCACAAAGCACAAGGAGCGGTTGGGTGGGGAAAACGACCTATCTCTCCCCTAGTTATCGAGACGTGCAGGCCATTTGCTTCGGTCAGTATGAGGCGGGCAGCAAGGTTCCGCCTGCGTCGGGCCGGGACCCCGCGTCCTTCTTAGGGCTGCAGAGCGGGAGGAGGTCGCAAGCGACTTCTGAGGATTTCGGCCATCAAAGAGAGCTAGGCAGGGTGCTGATGCCCGCCCGACCTGTGGGTGCGCAAGGCAGGCTGGGGGGGCTCAGATCCACACGCTAGGGCCGCCCCTCCCGCACGCTCGCCTACACTCGGGGCGGGCAGCGGAGGGGCCGCTGAAGCTGGTTTGCTGGCTTGTCGCTCGGATCGTATTGGTCGGGGTCGGGGGGGGGGTTGAGGCTGCAGCCCCCGGCCCCGCGGGCGGGGTGGGGAGGCGGGGGCTCAGGCTGCGCTAGCATTGGCGGAGCTGGGGAGTGGGGGGGCAGGAAGCGGGGGGAGAGCGGAGCCGCAAGGGGGGTGTATAAATAGGGAATGGGGGGACGTGCATCCTCCGCTGGGCAAGGGGGGGTGCTCGGCACAAAGAAAGTGGAAAGTTTGCGGCGCTAGGCGGCCCAGGCTAGGGAGCCCGGTGCGCACGTGCTGGGCCGGGGCCACTGAGACCCCCCACGCCGAGCTCGCTGCTTTTTTTCTTTCTGCAAGCTGGGGGGGGGTGTTGTTGGTATCGCCCCCTCCTTCTCCTCCCCCCAGGGGTGAAAGTGCAAGAGGAAGTGCAGCCGCTGCCATCTTTCCTCCGTTCCGAACGCACGGAGCCTGGGGCCGCAGCGCCGCCGCTCCGCCACCACCCGTGCCTGGCCTGGGGAAGGGCCCACCCTGCCGCTGCCACCCACTCGCTTCGGCCGCCGCCTTCGCCGGGCTCCAAGACCCGGCCTACGCCACCGCCCCAGTGCGCGCCGACCGCCGCCTTCGCCTTCGCCTTTTGTTTCCTTTGCTCCGGCGCCCCCGCCCCGGCTCGCGCTTTGCAGGGGACGCAGCGCGCGCCCCCAGCGGGCCCGGGAAAAGCCTCGGAGCGCGCGCTTGCGCTTGCGCGGCGGACCCCTCCTCCCTGCGCGCGCGCGCCTTTTGGCCGCGCGCCGGCGCCGCCTGGCGGGCGGGAGGGGAGGTGGCGGCCGCGTTTGCAGGAGGGGCGCACCTCTTCGCTGGTTTACCCCCTGGAAGGTAGACCGAGAAAGGGAGGCGGGCAAGCGGAGAGCGAGTGCAGCGCCGGGTCCGGCGGGGGGTGGTGGCTATGTGGGGGGCAGTGCACCGCTGGGTCTAGACTGTTTCTGATTCGGGCAGGGGGCGTGTGCGCTGGGCGCACCTGCGAGAACTACTGAGCCCCGGGCCGCACGTGTGGGGAGTGTGACTTGTCCGTTGAACCAAGGCGTCTTGCTGCCTAGGGGAAAGGACTGGGGACCTGCGGGTGCCCGACCCGGCTAGCGGGGAGGGGGCAGCGGCCATGGAGCGGGTCAACGACGCTTCCTGCGGCCCGTCGGGCTGCTACACCTACCAGGTGAGCAGACACAGTACGGAGATGCTGCACAACCTGAACCAGCAACGCAAAAACGGCGGGCGCTTTTGCGACGTGCTCCTACGAGTGGGCGACGAGAGCTTCCCGGCGCACCGCGCCGTACTGGCTGCCTGCAGCGAGTACTTTGAGTCTGTGTTCAGCGCCCAGTTGGGTGACGGTGGAGCTGCAGACGGGGGTCCTGCTGATGTGGGAGGCGCTGCGGCGGCTCCGGGCGCAGGAACTGGAGGCAGCCGCGAGCTGGAGATGCACACCATCAGTTCCAAAGTGTTCGGAGACATCCTGGACTTCGCTTACACGTCCCGGATTGTAGTGCGCCTCGAGAGCTTCCCTGAGCTCATGACGGCCGCCAAGTTCCTGCTGATGAGGTCGGTCATCGAGATCTGTCAGGAAGTCATCAAACAGTCCAACGTGCAGATCCTGGTGCCCCCTGCCCGGGCTGATATCATGCTCTTTCGCCCTCCTGGGACATCTGACTTGGGCTTCCCTTTGGACATGACCAATGGGGCAGCCTTGGCAGCCAACAGTAACGGTATAGCTGGCAGTATGCAGCCCGAGGAAGAAGCTGCCAGGGCCACAGGTGCAGCTATTGCAGGCCAAGCTTCCCTGCCTGTGTTACCTGGGGTGGACCGCTTGCCCATGGTGGCTGGACCCCTGTCCCCCCAACTGCTGACTTCTCCATTCCCCAATGTGGCATCCAGTGCTCCTCCACTGACTGGCAAGCGAGGCCGGGGGCGTCCTAGGAAGGCCAACCTGCTGGACTCCATGTTTGGGTCTCCAGGGGGCTTGAGAGAAGCAGGCATCCTTCCTTGTGGCCTGTGCGGGAAGGTGTTCACTGATGCCAATCGGCTCCGGCAGCATGAGGCCCAGCACGGCGTCACGAGCCTCCAGTTGGGCTATATCGATCTTCCTCCTACAAGGCTGGGTGAGAATGGGCTACCCATCTCCGAGGACCCCGACGGCCCCAGAAAGAGGAGCCGGACCAGGAAGCAGGTGGCTTGTGAGATCTGTGGCAAAATATTCCGTGACGTGTACCATCTTAACCGGCATAAGCTGTCCCACTCTGGGGAGAAGCCGTACTCCTGTCCGGTGTGTGGTCTGCGGTTCAAGAGAAAAGACCGCATGTCCTACCATGTGAGGTCCCATGATGGGTCAGTGGGCAAGCCGTACATCTGCCAGAGCTGTGGGAAAGGCTTCTCCAGGTGAGGAATGCCCCCTCCCCCACTCTCTGCTGTGTGCTATCTTAGTTACGCCTTTTGAGACAGTTCCTTGCTAGCATCTGGGGATGTGGATTTTGGGGGGTGTAAGGTCACTGGACCTTAACAGGGCATGCCATGTTTAAATAAAATGTTTTAAGACTCCCGGCTTTGAGATGGTGCGGCCAAGAGCTGCATGGGTCTCTTCAGGCAAGTTCTCCGGCAGCAGAGCACTACTATCCTCACCCTCCGGGGGCCTGTGGGAAGGGGCCGGATTCCTCAGGCCAGAGCCATTGGGCCTCCCTATTCTTCTCCCCGGTTCCCTTTGTGTTTCCGGCACCAGGCGTGGGGCCCCCTCTGGGGGCGGGAGGCTGGGCTCCTCCCTCGACTTTCCCCGCCTGAATGGCTGCGGAGGGAGGGGCTGAACAAGTGCGTCTGGGACTCCCTACACTCCCGAGGCCCAGATCCTCCACGACTGTTTGAGTGGCCCACCCTGTAGCTGGAGTCTCCAGCTTTGCCCCTCTTGTGACCCTAGGATTGAGAGGCATAAAGCCGGCTGCTCAAGGCCGTTTTGCCGTAGTAATACTGGAATCTGATGGGCTCTGACCTGCTGGCTCTAGAATCCAGTGAACCCACAGGTCCTCTGTCTGTTCTCAGGACGGAACGAAAGGCAGAGACCCTCTTTTTAACTTTTAGTGAGCCTTCTTTGGGACCGAGGACTTCCTGGGAGCAGAGGGTTGTGGTTTTTTTTCTAGTTTGAGAATATTGAATAAAGGGCTGGTTTTAATTGGAATCCTGAGGACCTTTCATGTGTGTGAGTTTAAAGACAGGGAATTCCCTCAGAGGGGCCCCAGCTTCCAACCAGTCTTACCGGTCAGACAGCCCCTGCCCACCTGCTCTGGCGGGCATCTGGCTTGCCAGCCCAGCTGGGGACTTAAGACTCCATCCCTGGCCTCTGGGGACTGAATTCCATCCGGGTGGCATTCATTGGCTGCTGTGGCGGGAGAGGCTGGGGGGAGGGGAACGCAGAGCTTCTAAGGGGCTTTAGTCTGGACAATGAGTCCCACACCCCCTCCCTGAAAGGCTGGGCAAGGCTTCCCTGTGTCATTCTAAAGCTGCTGCCTCAGGTCCTAAGAGTCATTGAATTTCTACTGGGGGTGGGGTGGGTGGGGTGGGGTTAGCCAGATCAAGAGTGAAACATTTGCTTCCCCTCCCCCCAGGGGGGGAAATGGCTGAGATACTTGGGCCCTGGGAGCCAGAGCTTGGTGATGACTTGTCTTTGTCTTGCTGGGGTGGAGTCCTCCCTGGGTGGGTAGGGGGGGCTCAGGCATGGATGAGGGAGGGAAACTGGCCCAATTTGGCCCATCTTTTTCAATGTGTTGTTTTTAAAGTCTGTTGCTCTCTTTTCCAGGCCTGACCACTTGAATGGACATATCAAGCAGGTGCATACTTCTGAGCGACCTCACAAGTGTCAGGTAGGGACTGGGCCATGGTATAGTTGGGTGGAGGTGTTGCTGCTCTCCGGGCCTTGGCCCTGAGCAAGCCTGCTGTATGGACCAGCTGACTGGCCACTGCTTTGCATACACCTTCCTCTGTCTCTCCCATGCCCTCCCACTGTCCTCCTTTGTTCTATACCCCAGTCCCCTTTGCTTCCCCCAGGGCTGAGATCCTCTTTCTTGGTTACTTGGTTCTGGTTTCCAGCCTTTACCTCTGTTCTATTGCTTAGCTTTCCTGTCCTGGCCTTCTCGGGCTCCTGGCTGGTGGGCCACGCTGAACAAGTGTTGTCCTGGTGGGTCTGACACTTTGCTGGGCCTGACTGCTGGCTCCCAGTAGTTTGTACCAACTGTAGGGATTTCAAAAGGGCTTCTGGTGGCCCAACCAACAACCCTTCCCCTGATTTGAGCTGAGTGGGAACTCGGGTTCCATCAGTGGAGAAAGCATGACATTAGGAGAGGCTGGAGGTAGGGAGAGGGTGGTCCCATCTCCAACAAGCAGCAAGAGCAAGGCATTCTCTTCCAGTGTGGAACCATGCAGCGAAGGCTGGGCTGGACTTCCCCTGTCTGCTTTAGTTCTATCTGGGGGCTCTGCTGGCACCTGGAAAAAGGACTTTTTTTTCCTGGCCTCTGAGCATTTACATGTGACGAAAAATACGCTACTGTCTTCATGGTTGTGTCTTGTACTATGGCAAGTGGTTCAGCTGATGCAAGGCAGTGCTGTGACCCTGTGAGAGACTCCTACAGCCTCCGACAGGGATAGTTACTTCTAACCTGTTGGCAAGGGCAGGTTCTGGGAGATTTAGAGGAAGGAATGGATATGTACAGGATGACAGAGCTCCAAGGACTAGCATTGATCATAGATGCATGACTAGGCAGCCTCTCCCAAGGATGCTGACTCAAGACAGGCCTGCTGGGATCTCTTTGCCTTGCTGCTTTCTGCCTCTCCATCTGATTCTGTTGTCACAGAGCACATTCTGACTCCCAGGTAGTGTGCTGAGCAACCCCAGGCAGGATAGGAGGAGCCCAGAGGGCAGTGGGGGTGTGCCCTGTGGCTTGGGGGGGTAACCTGCACTCTCTGCCCTTTTTCCAGGTGTGGGTTGGGAGCAGCAGCGGCCTGCCGCCCCTGGAACCTCTTCCTAGCGACCTGCCATCATGGGACTTTGCCCAGCCTGCTTTGTGGAGGTCGTCCCATTCAGTTCCTGATACCGCCTTTTCCCTCTCTCTAAAAAAGTCCTTCCCAGCCATTGAAAACCTGAGCCCAGCACACTCCAGCAATGCTCTCTTCTGCCC